GAGACTGGTCCGCCCTCAACTCCCCACACAATATATAAATACATGTCTAGTATGCAAAGAGTTCCACACTACAGGCAACTAAGTTGGTCTAATTTCTTAATAGCATACCACATAAAAACTACATCCTAAAATACAGAGGATATATGTTGGCACACATAATATAGTGAAAAAACTCACCTGGACAATTACTCTAATGATTGACAGCTGTGTGGGTGATCCTATTGGCAATCCAACTGGCAGGTAACACTCTTAACAAGTATTAACCTATAATACTACAACTTATTAATCTCTATGAAAACCTGGTAATGAAAGCTAGATGTTTCACTAATAATCCCACTGAATACCGAGAGTTCTATCAAACAAGGATCAACCAGACAGGACAGTTGGGAGGCATGATCATTTCGACATATAGCTTTTTTGAAATCCAACAACCAAACCAACATGACCATTCTAGACACCTCTCCCATAAGTAGAGCAATCAGTAATACTGGAATTATTGATAAATCTTATTTATACATTCATAACAATGACTATGAATATAAATATAAGTTACACTTAAAGCGTAGCTTAACTTACAGGGGTGCTAGCGAAGACTGGGAAGATCGCAGACATGGATTGGATACCGAGCACTTTTATTTACCTGACCCTCTGCCTTAGAGCTTACTAAAGTGGAGTTCCTCAGACTTTGTAAAATACTCAAAAAGTCAGACTAGAGAGAGAGAGAGAGAGAGAGAGAAAGAGAGAGAGAGATAGAGAGATGTGAGTGTTGGGTGTGGAGAGCAAATGAAGAGCAATAGAGTTAGGCGAAGTTCTAGGGAGGAGCATTGTGCTCATTAATTTGCACGCCACATATTTCGGTGGTGTCGGGTGGTGCCACGTGTCAGCTTCTCTGTGGTCCGCATAACCACCTTCTTGAAGCGCGCGTTGCGCGTATGCGCACGTGACGCAAAACGTGAATTTTGTAACTTCTTCATACGAGATCCATTTTTGATGTTCTTGATATCCATGCGTAGCTATCGACAATATCTATAACTTTCATTTAGACTCCGTTGGTTAATTATGAATTTATTTTTAATTTCTTATTTTAGAAGGATTAGATTGCTAAACTCCGTTTAAAATTTATATATCTTTTATACGACATCCGTTCTCGACTGTCTTTATATCGAAAAAATTGTATCTACGAGATCTTCAACTCCCGTTTAGATTGTTTTGGCTAACAAATCAACCGATTTCTATTTCGATTTCCGTGTCGCACACTGTTGTGTTATACTTCTAAAAACCATAACTTCCTCATACGAAGTCAGATACGTGCACGTCCTACATGCACGTCCTCGGTTTTATGATTAGTACGACTTTCATTTAGATTACTTAGTCTAATAAGTAATCTATCTATGATTATTATTTTACGAAACGCATAATCGTATCGGTTTAATCGCGAAACTTCGAAGAAGCATAACTTCTTCATACGAAGTCGGATACGTGCATTCGATATATTTACAGAAATCGTATTTTCATGTTTCCTACGTGTTTATGATGATTACTTTTGCTAAATGTAATATATTTCTACGTTAAATTTTATAAACAACGGTTTATATTGTATTCTATTGGAATGTGAAAATGGGGTGTTACAAGCCTCTCGAAGGGAAGTTCTAGTTGTGACCAGTGAATAGAATGCTAGCATTCATATGCGTTTAGTTTTATGTGATAGAGTATAAGTAATATGTGACATATTACTTGAAGTATGTGTTATTATGTGCTATTACATGTATTGCATATGATTTGTATAATGGGTGAGTGTCGTGATTACTCATTAAGCCCTAGGCTTACGGTTGCTACTTTATGTTTTTAGTTGCAGGTCCTTCAGGTTCAAAGGATAAGGAGCTGGTATAATTGGGATATCTAGACTTTTCTCAAAGGGACATGACATCTTGTTAACTGTTCTTTATTACGTTATGATTTTCAAAAAATGATTTACCCTCCGCAATTTCATTATGTTTATGTTGATATGATGCAAGAAGATAACTATATGATTTGCTAATGATTATGAGTAAAACCTTTTGGAAAAGTTTATACTATGATTTCAAAAGGTTTATAGTTGGATTTTGGGATGATACGAATACTAAGAAGTAAGCTCCCCCCTTATCAAAAAATCTTAATGCAATACTGATAAGTAAGCTCCGAATGTCGTTCTAATAGTAAATGCCTAAATGGGGTGAGATCACGAGAGAATGAAAGCTACAATTCCCTAGGATTGAGCGTATTTCTGGTGGCTAGATATGAAAGAGAAACAATATTAGGTAGAGATAGAAAGAGTCATCGACATATAAGAAGCCTTCTCTAGCAAAGTATAAACAAAAGAGAATAACAGATAGGTAAGGTTTCAGCTTCGAAGACCCAACCCAAAAAATGACATGATTGATGGTGGTTATGGACTCCATAAACTCCCCTGTTCTTTTACACCTTCGAGCTTCGATAAATAATGGAAAGGAAAGAGAGGCAATACTTACAAGAAAATACAAAGTGATTGAAAACGATAGGGTTTGACTGTTGTTTAGGTTGTTCTTTGACTAAATAAAATGATAGCGTAAACCTTTTTTTTGTTCCATTTAAGTTTTCAGTGAAAATTTCTAGAACGACTGTAGAGTAAGAATGGCGAGTTTAACAACAAGAATAGTTGGTTGTGATTGTCATGCTTTTTTCGTATGGATGGAACCAAATGAGTGTTTTTTAAACCGATGTGATTGTTTTTGTAGTAGTAATTAACCATCATAAAAATCATAAAATGCATTGAAAAAAGAAATATAATAGAAATAACAATGAATTTGAGAGAGAGAGAGAGAGAGAGAGAGAAGTTAACAATGGTGGTAGTTTTTTTTTGAAAAATATATTATAAAGTTTAATGGTGTTTTTTATACAAAAAGAAACCCATTTTAACACATTTTCATGCCACGTAATTACCATGTTAATATTTTTTTAATCGAAAACCTAGTAAAAAGATGTCAAATCAACAACCTTTTAATCCCAATGTCAATGGTGATTTTTTGAACATTTCAGCAAGTTTGATGATATCATGGTTTTGAAAATAGATCGAACCAACCTTTCTGGTTACCGGTTTTTTGACGACCAAAAATTGTTTAAGTAACCTAGTAAGGCCGGTTCGAAAAAAACCGGTTCAACCGGGACGGTATAACCACTTAAAAACGTTTTTTTTTACAAATATATATTTTTTAAGATTACTAACAATGTACCAATAATTTGTAGTTTTATATTTATGTGTATCAAGGTAATTGAATGATTCAAAGAAAAAGAATAAATACAAGAACTTGTATGAAACATATTTTTCATGGTGTTTTGAGTCTAATCATACTTAAATTTAAAAAATTACTAGGTGTGAGACCCATTTATTACATGAGTTAAATAAAAAAATTAAATATCAAAATGTAAACATTAAGTATTTTTTAAAATTAAATTTTAAAATAAGAAAGGAAAACATATTTATTGCAATTTATGATTATATTTATTACATTTAATGCTTACTTATATAACGGGAATATGACTTATTAAGATAATTAACTTTTCGGTATGTTCACATCTGGGTAACTATCTTTTTTTTGTACACATCTAGGTAACAAACTTGTTGGAAGTGTTCACATATGACCATTATGACCTGCTATAGCAGGTTAAATCCTAGATGTGAACGCTTTTAACAAATTCGTTACCTAGATGTATACAAAAAAATAGTTAGCCAACCAAATATGAACAAAACGAAAAGTAAAAGTAAATTACACGAATGGTCCCTGTGGTTTGGGGAAATTTGTGTTTTTTGTCCCTAACTTATTTTTTTAACTTGGACGGTCCCTACCGTTTATTTTTGTTGCGCGTTTGGTCCCTGTCTTACCTAAAAAGACTATTGTGTCCTTATTAATTTATTTTTAATTAATTTTCTTATTTATGTATTTATTTTTTTACATATTTAAAAAAATTAATAGACCCCACATATTTAAAAAAATTACATATTTTTTACATATTTAAAAAAAATTACATATTTAAAAAAACTACATATTTAAAAAAATTAGTAGGTCTTCATCATCCGAGGAGAGATACAAATATGTGGGGTCTATTAATTTTTTTAAATATGTAAAAAATAAATACGTAAATAAGAAAATTAATTAAAAAATAAATTAATAAGGGCACAATAGTCTTTTTAGGAAAAACATGGACCAAACGCGCAACAAAAATAAATAATATGGACCATCCAAGTTAAAAAAATAAGTTAGGGACCAAAAACACAAATTCTCCCAAACCACAGGGACCATTCGTGTAACTTAATTTTTACTTTTCGTTTTGTTCATATTTGGGTAACTATTTTTTTTGTACGCATCTAGGTAACGAACTTGTTGAAAGCGTTCACATCTAGGATTTAACCTGCTATAGCAGGTCATAATGGTCATATGTGAACACTTCCAACAAGTTTGTTACCTAGATGTGTACAAAAATAAAAGATAGTTACCCAGATCTGAACATACCGAAAAATTAATTACCTTAATAAGTCATATTCCCCTTATATAACTATATGTATTATGTGGATTTTTAATTTTAAAAATTAAAAAAACCTAGAATTTGACATGTGGATATTATTTATTTCAAAAATACCACAAAATGACAAGTGTCAAAACTTATGAGAGATTGACATGTGGCAAAATAGACCTTATTTATTAGAGTAGATGATATAACGCGGTTAACCATTACCGAATAGTCTACTTTACAAAATACCAAATGATACAATTAATTAAAAAATGATATTTTTTGAATAAAACAAAAAGATTGTTATACTCATTAGTCATTTTAATCGTCTTATAAGTTCCCGATAACTTCTTGTCAATCAGTTAGTTCTTCCCGGTTCCCCCCTTGGCCCCTTTGTGCGTGCATTTGAAGAAAAGGAAGGGGTAAAAATGGTAAACAAAAAGATTTCATTTGGGGCTTATAAAGGAACAAAATAGTGAAACACCACTGGTTGCAACCCCCATATCAGCAACCGCAGATAAGATCGACCATATCCACACACACACATGAACCTAGAATGGTGGGTGTAACACCAATCATAAGTGCTTAATTAGCTAGAAACTATATCAATCAATCATCTGAAATTAGCTTCAAAATGGGCACAATTCAGCCCATGAACGCTTATGGCATCTCTTCATTCTCACACTCTCTCTGCTCCAATTTCAAGAACACCATTAACACCAGTTTCGCCATTCAAAGACCCTCCATCAAGTGCCAAAGTCACTCAAGGTCAAAAATCCGAGCCATGGCAACCTTTGAAGATGCATCATCACAAGAACCCCCTTGTGTCAATTTCGCTTTCGTTAGTGTAAGTCATCAACATTAACCACATTGCAGATTACTAGTTCATCATCGAATGAATATCTTTGTGTTTACTTCAAAAATGGCAGTCGGTGTTGCTACCAGATGGAACTCCCGACGTACATTTTAGAAGCGCGACTGGTGGACAGAAACTTAGGGACATAATGCTAGATTCTCATATCGAGTTGTATGGACCATATGTAACTCTCTACTCTTCAATCCATTATCCTTTTTTTGAATATTTAACTGTATTCGAACATATAAGCTGCTTTCTGTTTTTGGTGATTCAGTCTAGACCTTTGCTAAACTGTGCTGGAGGAGGAACCTGTGGTACTTGCATGGTGGAGGTAAGTTGATCACCATCTGCATGAAATGAGTTTTAAAGTGTTTAATGTGTCGAGTTGTGGGTGGATTCTCAGGTTATTGAAGGGAAGGAGTTGCTTACACCACGAACAGACAAAGAGAAGGAGAAGCTTAATCGGGTATGACAAATTAACCCCATTATTGATCAAGATTAGTTCATGATGGATTTCATAATCTTAATGATGAAATGATGAATTGTAGAATCCGAAGAACTGGAGGCTCGCTTGTCAAACAACTGTGGGGAAACCGGATTCAACAGGCCTGGTTAGTAATTGTTGATGTATTTGGAAATTTATGATCTTAATGGCTGAGGGAAACTTGGTTGATGCAAATGCAGGTTGTGATACAGCAATTACCAGAATGGAAAGGGCATGAATGGACACTCGGAAAGGAGCCTCCTCCAGAATCTTAAATTTTGTTCCTAATTTTCTTTACGATGTTGTAAATGATGAGCACGATGATGGTAATAGTGTTATAATGTTGACACATTCTTGAAAAATATATATAGAATCAGTTCATTTAGTTCAAATATTTTTTTTGTTGGTTTTTTTCTTTGTTTTTACATGTGAGGGATGTATCAAACACATCCCCACCCATCTCATCTTACCTTACATACCCTATCATTTTTCCTTATTTAAATAATAGTATTTTTAGGTAAGACAACCTTACATACCCTATCATTTTTCCTTATTTAAATAATAGTATTTTTAGGTAAGACAGAGACCAAACGCGTAACAAAAACAAACAGTAGAGACTAAGCGCGTAAAAAAACAAACAGTAGGGACTTTCCAAATTAAAAATATAAGTTAGGGACCAAACACGTAAATTACCTGAAACCACACATATCATTCGTGTAATTTACTCTAAAAAGAGATAAAAATAGGATGCTATAATACACAAATAAAACTAGAAGTGAGCAACGGAACCAGGTACCCAGTTTCGGAACCGCCGGTTCCAAAACTGAACCCACATAACCACTTTCATTTCGGTTCTCAAAGTTTGGTATCGATTTTCCGGTTCCGATTATTATATTTTTGCACTGCTACCCGATGGGTAGTCGGTTTCGATTCCTGTATAGGATACTTGGAACCAGTGGGTACCCACTGTTTTTTTAGTAAAATATGTTTTAATTATACATATTGATAGTAATTAAAAATATTATGATTTTTAAGTAATTAAAAAATTAGCTATATTTTTTTTCTAAATAACTTTGATGTGCTCTAAAAGAAATTAACTAGAAATTGGAATTATATTACAAAGAAACGGATTTGGTTATAATGTATATGTTGAGTTGTTAAGTTTTGTTTTAGAGTCTATTCATAACTTAGATTTAAAAAAAAAGAAACAAGGGAAACGAAACATATAAACAAATGTTTGAATGGAAAATGAAGCAGAGAAAATTAGTGGTTAAAGCCTCAAAGGTAAAGGTGTTCATTTGGATGGTGTTAGTTTGGATTTGGATTGAAAGGTTAGATTCGACCCGATCAAGTGAATCCAAATTTATTTCGTTTTTCAAACATAGATTCGAATAGTCTTAGACTAAATTCAAATCCGATATGGTCTAACAAAATTACTATTCGGTTGGATTGGTTTGCAATTCGGGTTTCAAGAGTCAAGACATTGAAAAAATAATATAACTTGAATATTAATAAACTCTATAAAAGAAACTAACACAAATTATTTATTTGTAAATTAAAATTCATAAACTACGACTAAGAAAAATATATTATAACTTAATATTCCATAGACAAAAAACCTTTTGAGTAGAAGTACATAATAAAGTATTATATTGGATGAAGCGTTATAATTTTTTTAAAAAGTTGTTTAGTAAATTTAGAAATATTAAAGATATATATTAAAAATAAGTTATATAAATAAATAAAGAACAAATTATTATTCTGTTATTGTTTTACATATCAAAATCTATCCGAAATCCAAAATAATAATTCGGTTTTGCTGAACACCAATCTAAAAATCTGAATATCTGAACCAAACAATTTGATCCAAACTATCCAATTAAACAATTTGATTTTATCTAAATAATAAACAACCATACTCAAAAATCAAAATCAAAAGATATACAAACCCCAAACACATAGTTAATAACAATTTCACATATCTACTACCATCCACTTCCACTTCATCGTTTCTCCATATATCTCCGTCTAACCAATAATTCACGTCATTGCTTTTCTTACTAAATTTATAAATAACCAATAGTAAAATATAAAAAAAACCAGGTATCCAGAACCGGAAGTCCGAAACCAATTCCAAGCTGTTCCGGGACCGGTTACAAAGTCCAAATAACCGGTGTGGGCGGTTCCAGTTCCCGTCAGGTTAAGAACTGCCGGTTCTGATTTCTAACAAATTAATTGGATACCTACCTATGCTTACCCCTAGTTACAACTAAGGTCAAGTTTTGCCATCTCAAGTTTCGTTGGGATAATTATTTGACTATATGCATGATAACTCGCATTAACATTCAAAACTTTCGTCCGATTGGAACCGCCCCACATTTGAAAATAACTCCACGAAACCCAAGCATTAATAGCATCCACAAAAAAATGTGCATTCATTTGAAATGAAAAATAGGTATGATTGCGACATTACGTGCATATTAAAAAGTCTAATAATACCTTAATACGAGGAATATGACATATACAAAAAATCTGTTTTCCAACAATATAAAGTAATAAGGTTTGGAGACGGAAAATACATCCTATTATAGACACAATCCAACGTCGATGAAATAATGGCAGCGCCCAAGCTTTCCGTTATCGACTTCTCTGTGAAAAGCTTAAACTCTACACCAAGTTCTTGGATCACAACATGCAGTCAAGTTATGCGTGCTCTTGAAGAGCACGGTGTTTTCATTGCCATGTACGACGGTGTACGGCAGGAGCTTGACGACATGATTTTCCATGCATCACGAGATCTATTTGATCTTCCTACCGAAGTCAAAGTCCTAAACACTTCAGATGCACCATATCATGCTTACATTGGGCAAATTCCGGTTATGCCTATGTACGAAAGCTTAGGTATTGAGAACGCAACAACTAAAGAAGCAGTTGAGATATTCACAAAACTCATGTGGCCTTCTGGAAATAAAAGTTTCTGGTAAGGTTTCTTATCTTACGTCTTAAAGCTAATGAATAGAAGAGCACTATACGGGTCTCTATATAATTGTTTGATACTTTGATTCACGATTTTTTCAGTACAAGTGCATTGATGTTCTCCAAGGCTGTAGCTGAACTGGATCAGATAGTTTTGCGGATGGTAGCAAAAAGCTATGGAATAGAAGAACACTACGAGTCGCTCCTTGGGTCAACAAATCATGTTCTGCGATTTATGAATTACAAATGCCCTAAAGGGAACGAGGAAAATCCTCTAGTCCTTCGTCCTCACACTGATAAGAGTCTCATGACAATTCTTCATCAAGAACAAGTAAAGGGTCTACAGATACAGACTAAGGACGGACAGTGGATCGACGTTGATCCTGCGCCCTCATCGTTCATAGTCATGGCAGGTGATGCTTGCATGGTAGGTAGCGATATACTAACCAGTCTCACTGTTATTATGCATATGTATGAAATTTAAGGTGTTTTCATTCTCTTAGGCATGGACAAATGGAAGAATCGAAGCACCATGTCACAGGGTGATTTTGCAGGGAAACCAAGAGCGATTTTCATTGGGGCTATTTTCGTTTATTTGGGATATGAAGATAGAGATACCTCAGAAACTCATTGATGAAGACCACCCTCAACGGTTTAAGGACTTTGATCACTACAACTACCTTCATTACTATCACTACACCGATGAAGGGAAGAGGTCCACGTGCCCCATCAAATCCTACTGCGGAATTTGATCAGCTGTATATATATTGTTCAAAATAAATTAAGGTGCCAACATATATGGCACCACATGTATCTTTGATCATATGTACGTCTTGTTCAAATTGTTTCTTGTTTCTTTGTTCAAGTACTAATTATTAAATAAATACATATAAGTTGTATGGTAGTTTTAAGAACGCTTTCCCAGATGGTTTGCGTCTCTGTTGAGATGTAAGAGACCGAACTGAGTCATGCAAACACTATGTTCTCCGTTTTATATAATTAGTGTTTAGGTACCTTCAGTAGTCTTGATTTATTTTCTAGGTGTGTGAATCCTTTATCCTCCTATACGAATATACCTCAGATGTGACAATTCAAAACTCCAATCCTATAAAGTTTGTACTTAAGAGCTTCCGTAATACAACATAAGCCTATTTTACCTACATGACAAATTATTTATTTATCTATTCTTAAAAAGATGTCTGGATATGTTTATATACTACAAGTGATTATGCGATGCATCTCCTTTTAACATGGATTCCTAGTCCCTTATAGGGTTTGTAGTGGAGTTTGAGATTACTTTGTAAAACATGTCCTACAATTAAGCCAATTTAATACCGTAAATTCAATAAATTTAACTCTAATTAATTTTTTTTTAACCGACAAATCTAATCTATTCCTAAGCTAACACCTATTCCACCTAAGTCCACGACGGGACTTGAACCCTCGACCTCAAAGAGAGAGGGCACCACCTGATACCGCTGGGCTACAAGCCCTTTGGTTAACTCTAATTAATTTAATTCCTCTTTCTTATATCTATCTATTATAATAAAAAAGTAGTTACTATGGACATATGTTATTATTCACCAATTCCATTTACATCAAAATTTATAATTATACCCTTTTCGGTTTATCCCAATTACGGCCCACCTCCTCCGATTTTGTTTTCTTGCTTTTGGAAACAAAATTACATATTCAAATTTTAAAATACCCAAATTCTTAGCTTCATTCCTCCTGTTAAAATCGATTAAACCCTAAAATGAAACTACCAACCCTCTTCTTCTCATCTCTTCTTCTTTTCCTCTTTATTTGTAGAAAACTATGACTTTAGGTATTTTCATTTTCTTAAATGCTTCTAAAATCTTCGTTTTCTTGAATTTTCATGCATTCTAAGATGTCTATGAAGAAATTCATTTATAGTTAATACAATCGCAAACAAGTACAAGCAAGTTTAAAGAGACGAGACAGAGACAAAGCATTTATAGGATGTGATACATAGGCTACCATTATTAACCTTGATTATTGAGCTCGACATAAGATTTAGTGATAAAAGTGTTTTATTTTTAGGGAGGGGGGGGGGGGTTGATACATCAAGAAAAGAGAAAGAACAAATTCAATAGAAAAATAAGGGTTTTTACTTCAATCGATCTTGTAAAAAGGATAACAAACACACAATTTCCCAACTTGATCAATTCATTCACTAGGAACTACGATTACACTTAAAACCCTCACTACAAAAAACACTATTTTCTCAGATTACAGAAGGTAAACTAACCCTTGAAACCCTAATACAACGAGAAAGTTTTATCTAAGTATGCATGTGTGTAATGAGCTGAAACATAAAAATCTCACAATAAATAAGCAGGTCATGAGAATAATCCATTGAACAGACAAACCCATGTTCCTTTCC